TGGGGTGACTTTGGCCCCCAATGCCGTTGACTCAAGGCAGTGCGATTACTGACCCACTCCCGGTGCGTTTGGTACTGATTCTCCACCCAGGCAGGTCAGAGCTTTAGATTTATCCTCCGGCCCCATGGGGTGTCCAGTGTGGGGGAGAGCTGAGCAGGGGGCAGGGTTCCAGGCATAGGGATCCCCCAGGGAGAGCATCACAGGGGGTGGGTTGAGGCTGTGGGGACTCCCCTTTGGGATGGGGAGCTCGGTCCCAGCCCAGCCAGGGAGACGATGGGAGTTTTTATATGAACCTGGTCTCCCCGCAGGTAAGATCATCGGGGGACATGAAGCCCAGCCCCATTCCATACCCTACATGGCCTATCTGGAAATACAAGATGGACAGGTTAAAAGAATGTGGAGGGTTCCTGGGGAAGAAAAACTTCGTACTGACGGCCGCTCACTGCAAGGGAGAGTAAGCGCCTCTGTGCTGGGGATGTCGGGGCAGGTCGGGGTTAGCAGGTGATGGGGGAGTTGAGAGCTCTGGTGCTGTGGTAGGTTGCAGGGAGGGAGCAGTTAGTAGGACAGGCTGTGAGAGCAGAGCCCAGGGGTCTGATCTGCTCAGGGGGCGTCGGCGTGTCTCTAGGGCAGTGGTCTCCACGGTGGGGTGCACACACCCCAGGGGCTGCGCCAGAGGATCCCAGGGGGTGCGCGGCAGGAGGAGAGTCGCCGAACGGCACTCTGCCGTTTTTTTTCTTTGACGGCAACTCTGCACGCCTGCGGCAGGTCTTCCCGTTTTCTTTCTTCGGCGGCACTCCTGCGGTAGGTCTTCCCTTCCTCTTTCGGCGGCACCCTGGGGTGCACGATCCAAAAACTTTGGAGACCACTGCTCTAGGGGCCTTTGGGGGTTGGACTAGATGACTTCCTGAGGTCCCTTCCAACCCTGATATTCTATATTCTATGAAACCATGGTTCAGATCCAGCGCTGAGTAAATCAATGGAGCTATGGGCCATTGACACCAGCTGGGGTCTGTCCCATTGTCCAGCTCAGGGCAGGGAGGAGCTCGCAGCCCCAGGACAGCTCTTCAAGACTCTGGGCTGGAGGGAGCTGGGCATAGAAACCTGTCTGGATCTATCCGCGGTGGGGTCACCGGACTGTACGGGAGCTGAGAGTGAGGTGCTGGGAGGAGAATGGGAAGTAAAGCAGCTCAGGGGAACCAATCAATTCATAGCATTTTTCTAAGACTAATGAAGATAATCTGCAAAGCCTTGTTAGCCCATGGCTGGTCTAGCCAGGGAAAGAGCCAGGAAAATGGGTGTCTCCTCTAATGCTGTTTCTGCAGAATGTTTTGGATCCAGGGGATGAAGGTGGAGAGTCTTGTAAACACGCTTGGCTCCCACAAATGCACGTCAACATATGAAGCGATGCCCTGGGCCACACTCTCACATACCAAGGGGCCACCAGAATCACCCTGGGATTTAAAATAATCACAGTTACATCTTGTACATCTCTAGCATGACTTTTCATCTGCAGATCTGATTACAGCAGAGTAGGGGAGGTTTAAATATTGGGCAAGAAATATGTTTTGTGTAAAAAATGGCCTTTTTTCAACTTTGGAAACTTCAGCAAAAATGTTTGTTGTGTTGAAGTGTTTCCTTTTTTGTTTGGGTAGCACTAGTAGGGTTAGGCAGAGTTTGGTAGAGTTGGGGTTGGGTTGGTAGAATTGGGTAGGGTTTGAACTGGGAGGATGTGGGTAGAGCTGAGTTTGGGTAGGGTTGAGTTTTGTAGGACGGGGGTATGTTGGGTAGAGCTGGATAGGACAATGGTTAAATTTAGTAGAGATTGGGTAGTGTTAGGTAGAGTTGGAGTTGGGGACAGTTGTGCAGGACAGGGGTTAAGTTTGATAGAGTTGGGTAGCATTGTGCTGGGCGGAGTTTGAGTTTGGGAAGGGTTATGTAGTCTGACCCCATCCAGCCACGCTGCACATGGATCCCGGCCTCACCCTGGACTTGGCATTTGGCAGGGGGATGAGCCGCACCCAGTTACTCAGCATTGCGCTGTGTGACAGCTGCCATGGACGTGAGGGAAAACAGGGAACCAGATCAGCACAGGAAGTGGAGCTGAAAGGGACCAACAAGTCTCAACAGTGGAAAATGGAGATGTGTCCACTGCTTTCATGTGAAGTCACTGGGGGCGGGGTGATGGGGTGGAGGGCAGCACTGTGAAGTCACTAGCAGCAGGGTATTGGGATAGCGGTGGTACCTCCAGTAGTGTGAGGTCACTGGGGGTGCGGTGATGGGATGGGGGAGGCAGCTGCAGCAGTGTGAGGTCACAGGGGGTGGGGTGATGGGAAGTGGATGATACCTGCAGCAGCATGATGTCAATGTTAAGGGTCTTCTTTTTGTATTGCTGATGGGGAATCTGGTGGTGGACGGCGATTTTCTCTTGGTTCCGTTCCTGTTCCCCAATGTTATGGGCTCCCATATTGACAGTGATCTTGCTGTAAATGCCAAGAGCAATACATGTTGCGTTAAGGACAGAAGTGTAGGTGAGGAGTGGGTGGGCACATGAGGGTCTGACTCATGAACAGTGATATGGAGGGGACAGGGTAGCCTGGGGATCTCAGGTCAAGATCTCGGACTCATCTGCCGGCCTGTAAAATATATATATACCACTGTACACATTGCCCGCTGCGATCTGGCCCAGGGCTGGGGACTAGTTGGCGCAGGAGGGTGGGAAATGGCACCAGGGGCCTTTCCCCTCTAGGGGGCACCAGCTACAACAGAAAGCCCCAGCCCAGTGGTGATTGGTACCAGCTGGTGTCCCCCCAGCCCCTTGTGATGTTCCCTTGAGCTGCTTTACTTCCCATTCTCGTCCCAGCACCTCGCTCCCAGCTCCCGTACAGTCTGGTGACCCCACCGCAGATAGATCCAGACAGGTTTCTAAGCCCAGCTCCCCCCAGACCAGAGTCTTGAAGAGCTGTCCTGGGGCTGCGAGCTCCTCCCTGCCCTGAGCTGGGCAATGGGACAGACCCCAGCTGGTGTCAATGGGCCATAGCTCCATTGATTTACCCAGCGCTCGATCTGGACCATGGTTTCATAGAATATAGAATATCAGGGTTGGAAGGGACCTCAGGAAGTCATCTAGTTCAACCCCGAAAGGCCCCTAGAGCAGTGGTCTCCAAAGTTTTTGGATCGCGCACCCCAGGGTGCCGCCGAAAGAGGAAGGGAAGACCTACCACAGGAGTGCCGCCGTAGAAAGAAGACGGGAAGACCTGCCGCAGGCGTGCAGAGTTGCCGTCAAAGAAAAAAAACGGCAGAGTGCTGTTCGGCGACGCTCCTCCTGCCGCGCACCCCCTGGGATCCTCTGGTGCAGCCCCTGGGGTGCGTGCACCCCACCTTGGAGACCACTGCCCTAGAGACACGCCGACGCCCCCTGAGCAGATCAGACCCTTGGGCTTTGCTCTCCCAGCCTGTCACACTCACTCCTCCTTCCCTGCAATCTACAACAGCACCAGAGCTCCCGGCTGCCCCATCACCTGCTAACCCCGACCTGCCCCGACATCCCCAGCACAGAGGCGCTTACTCTCCATTGCAGTGAGCAGCTGTCAGTACAAAGTTTTTCTTCACCAGGAACGCTCCACATTCTTTTAACCTGTCCATCTTGTATTTCCAGATAGGCCATGTAGGGTCTGGAATGGGGCTGGGCTTCATGTCCCCCGATGATCTTACCTGCGGGGAGACCAGGTTCATATAAAACTCCCATCGTCTCCCTGGCTGGGCTGGGACCGAACTCCCCATCCCGAAGGGGAGTCCCCACAGCCTCAACCCACCCCCTGTGATGCTCTCCCTGGGGGATCTCTGTGCCTCGAACCCTGCCCCCTGCTCAGCTCTCCCCCACACTGGACACCTGATTGGGCCGGAGGGTAAATCTAAAGCTCTGACCTGGCTGGGTGCTGGGCAGTACAAGATGAACATTTCTGGGGGCAAGTCTGGGACTGGGAGTTTGCTGGTGTTGTCCTGCAGTGTAAGTGAGGAGTGGCTGCCCATAGGACTCACACACCAGAGCTGGGAGTAACTAACATGCTGGAGGCTGGGTGTGAGCAGGCCGGGAGTGGTGGCTCTCAGAGTGAAGCAGTGTAAATGGCACCCCAGGTTGCAGAACTGAGGGAACACACTGTCCAACAGGCCAGATTGTAGCCTGGGGAATGTCACAGGCCCATCCCCCACAGCAGTGGGGTCCTCCCTGGCCTGAGCTCTGGGCTTGTCTCCCATAGGAGACCAGACCCAGGAGGTACCAGCTTTTCCCCCAGGCAGTCGGAGTCTGTCCCAGCCCCTCCGGCCCCTCTGCCCTGGTCCGTTATTAACACCTCTGGGCTCAAAGCCTGTCCAGCACATCTGGGGCTCCACACTCCGAGCGGTGCCAGTATCGACTCAGCCCCTTTCACAGGGCAGGCTGGGGCTGAGGGGCCAGGCTGGTCGTTGATGTCAACTCCCCTGCCATAGGCGCCCTCCAGGTTGTTTATTGTCCTCCCACTGAATTGCCACCTGCTCCATCCCCTCCCCTGTTTGCCTCTTGGGGATCTTATCTGTGGCATCCATCTCCCCATCATGCTTCCCCGAGCTAGGCTGGGGGCCTCTGGCCACCAAGCAGCATGTTGGCAGGAGGATCTGCCAGAGGGCAGCGCTGCTCTAGAGCTGGGTAGAAATGGAGCAGACCCTGCCCAACGAAGGGCTCAATGCCAACCCAGGGCACTAAGAAACTGGGGGTGATGTCGGGTGCAGAAGGGAGTAGGGGGAAGGGCAGGAAAGGCCTGGGGGGATTGTGGGAAGGTGTTGGAGAAGCACCAGCCCTGAGTGATCCAGCCTGTGTTTTCTCTCCAAAGTGGGTGAGTTAGAGCCCGAGATCAAGCAGAACCCGGGTTCTAGCTGACAACCCCAGTCAGGACACCTAGCCCTGGTCCAGAGCACCTCCAGGGGTTTGTGTATGGACTGTAGCAACTTAAGGCTCAGCCTGGGTGAGCTCTGCAGTAAAGACAGACCTGATCTATCTATCTATCTATCTATCTATCTATCTATCTATCTATCTATCTATCTAATACAAAGCTCTCTCTATTTAGCCATCTCTCCTTTTCTCCGTCCATCTAAATTCTCTGTATCCATCCAACCTCTCTCTCTCTCTCTCTCTCTCTCTCCTCCTCCCTTCCCCCCCACCCCACCATTTGTCTTCTGATTTAGCAAGGTGCATAATCAGGTGTCTGACTTTAA